AGAACCTAGATAGGGGGTATTCGGGGTTGGGGGGAGGGTAGAGGGTTTTGGAGGGGAGGGCAGCTTATGTTTATTATCATTTATGCGCAATACAATCTCATTAATGTAAGGAAGATTTTTTTTCTTCTTCTCTTCATCTCTGTTTATAATTCTTTTTCATTTTCCGAATGACAAATATTGTATGTCAAGTTGCTAAAAATTCAATAAAAAAAGTTGGAATAAAATTTGTATACTTAATGGATACTTGCATATACTACTTTTTGCTAAGGGACAGCCTGTTGACCTTATCAATTCATTTACAGATACCAAGCTGAAGTTTAATGTGGTAGTAGCCGGGAGTCATCCTCGATCAATGAGATCATCTAAAACGGGAGTGTCCAGTTCTGGTTGTTGACGACCACTACCCTGCATGTTTTTAGAGGTTTCTCTGCTCCAATGCCTGACTGAAATGACTGACAGGCTCCTGCAGAACTTGAAGAGGTAATTTAATCACTAAATCAGACAGGATCATTTCCCACTTGGACCAGGATTATACACGTCTGACCTAAAACATTTATAAGGCTTTGATCAAACTGGCGATAACTCATCTCAGCGCATGATGATCTTGGTCCAACTCTGGCGATGAAAAGTAGCAGGATATGAATTCCTTCAGTATCTTTAGTCCATCTGAGAATTAACATCAAACTTTTTTTAATACGTTGGCAACTGAAGAGATTATCTCACTGAAAGACCCATTAAAAGGAGTTGTTTTGGAAATCTTTTCATTCTATGAACTTTTATGGTTTTTATTTCCAGTCTGAGACCAACACTCTGTTCAAACAAGTGGATCATCCCTGCTGTGTGAATGGGATTGAGGCTCAAAGTGCTGGCTAGGGGAAAACAGTAATGCAACGGCTTAATCAGGCTGAAGGGAACACACACACAACAACAACACACATAACCGAGYTGTAATGTCAAGACTTTCCATCCTGTTTTCTCTCTGCAGACCTCCACCCCCATATACTCACGAGCCCTCTTAGCGCTGAACGAACACAGACCTTCAAAATTTGGACTAAAAGGGTATTTTTCCCCTGTCATTAATGTGTCCTTTAAGATAAACATGCATCATTRGATTTAACAGAGTAGTAGAGTCAAACAGTTTGTTTACCAAAGAGAAAACACTATAAATTGTAGGTTAAAACTTAAAATTGTTTTTTTTTTCTGGTTGTGCAATAATAGTTTTTAAGTTATTTCTTCTCTAAACCAATTGGCTAAAAACATTACTGTACCTCCTTTGGTCACCAAAACAATCCGGAACCTACCAGGCTAGACCTCAGGTCTGCTGAAGGGTCAAGCCGTCAGTGGTGGATCCTTTAAASCCCGGGGGCTCCATGGATCATTTTGTTTCTTTATCACATCCAAGATTCTGGATTTTGATGAGATGTGGGGGATTTTGAAGCGAAGTCAGCCCCTCGATCTCACTGTTATGCGCACCAACAACGACTTGAGTCCAGTCAGTGTACTCATGAGTGATAAAAACATTAAGAACCTTTGCCTTACAGGCAAATCTGTGTTTAATAGTTGTTTCTTGGCCTTTTTTTTTTTCTAGTTTACAACCTTTCAACCCAAGTTAAATGCAGAGGATGTGCAAGGTCATGACTAATAATAATAATGAAAAACGGTCTGTTAGTCCTATAAAAAGGTGATTGTACCAGCTAATCAAAAAAGCACATCTTCAGTACGAAAAAAAAAAAAGATTTAAACAGCAACTGTGGGAAAAAGTCTGGAGCAGATTTTCCGCATTCTTCTAAAATTCTCTGGTATTCACGTATGAAAAAGACTCAGTTGTCCATCGGTCCAATACATATGATGGGTAAATGTGACTTTTTTAATGTGTTAATGGAGTTATCAGGGTAGACATTTGTTAGGTTGCTGATTTGAACTCCTGATAAAAAGTGGACAAACTAAAAACATAAAAACATTTTCAAATAAACAGAGCCAATCCAGAAGCACAAAAACAAAGACTCACTTATCTGAGATTATTTTCCCCAGAAGCAACCATTCCACTGCCAAACAATTTCTTTAAAAAGAGACATTCCTTTAAATCCTTTTTCACAATTCAGTTGGGGTCTATATAAAGTGGAACTGCAATGCTTTGCTCTGAATTCCTCCTTGTAACTCMACAAGCCCCTCTCTCCAATCTTTTCTGAAGTGTCTCAGATCAACTCGTTTTGAGGCTGTCTTTTTAAATCCAAAAAGTCGCTTCACACCTCGCCCCCCTCCAGCTTCCAGACCGGTTCATTCTAGCCTGATAAAGTGGTTTACGACTATATAGCTGCGCAGAAACGTTTTATTTACAAATCAATTAAAAKATGTAAACAAGGGAAGACTTGTCCATCCAGCCTCACATGTTGGAGCCAGAGTCTGACCCAGAGGAGAATGAAGATGACAAATTGTAGTTGGTAAATCCAGAGCTCATTTGGGAAATCCGTCACAATTTCTGTGACATAATAGTTCAGAAAACGTTGTGGTAATTAGAGAAAACTGTATTTAATGGCTAAAAATGTGGATTTTGCATGACTCCTTTAAAAAAATGTGGGACTTGGGTTTCAGAGATTTAAAAACCCTGTTAGAACTGTAGCTTATGTTCAATATTATAGTTCATGTCAAATAACAGGCGTGAAACAACCATTACCTGTAGATTTTGAGGTAGATAAGTGTTTTAACTTGCAGTGAACACAAACAGCTCTTGGTGGCTGACTGCTAATATTTGCATCTAACTAGTTTTTAATTAAACTAATTTTCATTTTTGGGGACTTACATCAACAGGAACAAGTGATTTTTACACTTCAGCGGCAAGAGAGTGAAATGAGATGCATTTAAGAACTAACACACTCTTGATTTTGCCTTTTTTATGGGATTTATTTACAGTAACAAAAATATAGAATACCACTTTTCTTTTTTATTTGAGATGATGGGGTTTGCACATGGACGAGTTAACAGCAGAGACCAGATTGAATTTGTTCGTTTATTTGGAACCCTTCTCCAAATCATGTTTTCATCCTTCTCACAAAATATTTACAAAAAGAGATATCTTTTTTTTTAACCCCCTGTAAATGTCGGCTGTTGTAACAGCTCCTTTTTTAAGGATGATGAATCGTCGCTCACGTCTGTTTTTTGTTTTTTTAAGAAAAAGTTAATGAAAAACAAAGTTCCTCCCACTGGTTTTCATTCATACTCAATTTAAAAGAGCTTGCAGTTTTTTCCCCTCTCCTTCAATTGTTCTTCTTTTGAGTGCTTAAAGAGAAATCTTCCTTGCATTCTTTCAGCTGCAAACAGGAAGCCAAGAGCTTGTGTGCTTATAGAGAGGAAGTGACATCTTTGCCCTGCAGGAAGTACAATTACAGCATCGTCATCGTTTTGTCCAGATGCTGGATTGGTTTGGTCTGTTCAGTCTCAAACAGTCTCTGTAGACAAACGTGATTCCTACAGATGTACCAAATAACACAAAGCTGTAGTAATCGTCAAAAGGAGCCAGTCTTTGTAAAGTTTTCTGTCCTCTTGCGGCAGCAGGAAGGGGGTTACGGATAAGCGCTAAATTCTCAAAAACGCAGAGCGCTGAAGTCAACTGGACGTCAAGACGCAGCTGTGATGTCCCCCTGCGTGTCGACGTGTGTAGTCGTAGGACTGGGAAGGCGTCCACAAGTGCACTGTGGATGTTTTCCATGGAAGAGCGTTTTTTTTTTTTGTTTTCAAGCTGTACGATTTCATCCCTGAAACTCCGCAAAGAAAGGAAGCGATACCAAGATGCTTAAAAATCAAGAAAAACAAGGAATTTCAGTCCCTCACTTTTTAAAGGATCAAACAAAGTCAGTTATGTGGTGAAAAAAATATGCGGAACATAAGGCAGTCGGCCTCGGGATAACTGATTATATCAAGAGAAACGAGCTAAAACTGGACAGCTCAACACTGCGTGGTATTATCTCCTTTTCCCTTTAGCCTCAGTGAGGAGCCTTGAAGAAGCATGAAAGGATTTTCTAACAAGAGTTTATTTTTCTATCAACTTGCGACCTACTCTATAAATAATAAGATTAGTTCAGCGTCTTTTCTTCATTATTAATATTATTCCTTTTTTTATGCGTAAAATGCTGAGCCAAGTTGTGCAGTTGGCTGCTCGTTAGTTTTCTCTATAATACACTACATGAAACACTGACTGAAATTAAAGGAAGATAAAAACACAAAGAGATCAACCCTGCCCCCGAATGTGTCCTAAGATCTGTGTGAGAATATAAACATTATTTCGACGCGTGTACAGTGTGTTATTTTTATTTTCTGGGTACGAGTCTGTAAAAGTGTGCTATTTTGGTGCCTGTCCTCGATATCAGGTATATTTCTGCTCTGTTAACTGGTGACGTAGTGCTTCGTAGAAGGTTGCCCGTACAGCCCATAGAAATCTGCATGTCTGTGTGTCTGTGAAGCGTCTATCCAGTCCCTCACCGCCAAGCCCTGCATGGACGGACCTCCAGAGGTTAGGGCGGGAGGAGGTGGGTAGTCCTGGGCGCTAACCCAGGGGAAAGAGCCCGAGCGCGGGTACGGAGGGTGGCTGCGGTGGCCCGAAACCGACGGCACTCCGGAGCAGTAGCAGTTATCCATCGTGCACACCAGGATCTTGCGGCCGCCGTACTGAGGCAACACGGCCTGCTGCGAGGAGTGGGAGGAGCTGCTGCCGCCGGGGGGGAAGTGGGAGGAGCCGAACACCGAGCCTGAATGGTGATTGGCCAACGAGCCGCTCCCGCTTCCGGCGCTGCCGCTCTCGCTGATGTGGGGCGGGGCGCAGGGGCCGAGAGTCTGCTGATTGGTGGACTGGCCTTCTCCGGAGGCGGAGCCAGAGCCCAGGTAGGGCAGTTTGGCTAACGACGAGGAAGAAGACGAGGAAGATGAAGAGGAGTCCTTAAAACCTGGGGCGACGGTTTTGCCGGCGCTCCCGTTTCCCTCTGGGAAGGCAGTGGAATGTTTCCGCTTCTCCGCCCCGGAGCCGGAGCTCTGGTCGCTGGGGAATGCAGCGACAGACTGCAGGAACGTCGATGGAGGGGTGATCGGAACTGAGAGAGAGAAATAAAAAGACAGAAATGATTAATAAAACCAAGGCACTGTAAGAAAATATTCTAACTGGATACATGAGTAATACTATCTTCTCCAAGCCGGTCTATGGCTCAAAACGGTCCTGAATCACTACACCCCCTGGGGGCGTTTCCTCTTATGCCCAGGTGTATAGTAATGAAGTACATTTTGTTACAGTACTTAAGTTATTTTTTTAATCGTAACTTTTATTTTGTTATATTGGAAAAAAAAGATTATTTGTTTTACAATTTTACAAATTTAAACATGATGGAACTCATGAAAGGAGTTGTTTGTGCTCTCTAAAAAATGATGTGTTGAATTTACTTAAACAAGTTATGTCAACTAGTTTCACTAAAAAGAGTTTGAGTAAATTGAACCATAAATTTCTTTACATTTACTCAACATTACTCACATTTTCATTTCTTAGAGCAGAGGTTCTCAAACTGGGGTCTGCAAGAGGTATCTTGGGGGTCCTCAAAAGATTTCACTAAATTGTTAATTTGGATTTAAGTTTTAAAAATGAACTAATAAAAACAAACATAATAAATGAAATAAAAATATATATATTCCCATGGCATTTAGGAGTTAAAATGACAGTAAATTATCTTTTAAAACATCATGGGGTTTTATAGGGGGTCGCTGGGGTCCCCAGACCCAAAATGTTTGATAACCGCTGTCTTAGAGTGTGGGTAAAAACACTTTCACATTATCCTTCCCGAATACTTTGAGCAGTTTTATGACTTTTGCTTAAGTACTTTTCTTATCCAAGAAATTGATTTTTACAAAGTAATTTTCTGTTAAAGTATTTTTACTTTTACTTAGATTTTTTTAAGTACTTGATATACCTCAGCTCCTACATCAACATAGGAATGCCAGAAATGTAAACAATCATTCCTACACTGCTGGAACAAGGAGCATAGAGATGTGTTGGTTCTCTGTTAAAGTAAATGACTAATCAATCACAAAGTATAAAAACAGCACCATGATTGTAATACTATGGAATAGGGATGGACAGTGATCTTCACATTCCTAACCTGGAATAAGACTTGAGTTAATCTGAAAGCTGTTACCTTCAAGCGTTCGCTTCAAGCTCTTCTCTCTTTTTGAAATTTCAGAAAGGAAAAGTTTTGAGTTCAGATTCCCAACTTTGTAAGGAGGAAGGCTGCTTCCTACGCACGCCTGAGACCTGCAACAAGAAACAAACCAGATCCAAAATACTGCAAGTAGTCCAACAGGAAACACAGCTCGCCTGTGACAGACACTGTTCTCTCACCTGTCTGTGAGGACTTTAACAGGTTTGGTGTTCTTCATGAAGCTCAGCTCCTCAGCCTTGCCGAAGGCCGTGTTGATGGAGCTCATCAGCTTCTGGGCTTTGTGGCGCTGCTCACCCAGAGCCAGAACCTGGGAGGCGTTGTCCTGAAAAAAGCGAGCCTGAGCCCGGTCCAGGGCCTCCAGCGTGCGGCCGAGATCCTCCTCCAGGAGCTGGTGCATGCGCTGGTACTGCAGGCGCACCTCCTCCTTCAGCTCGCACACCCGGTCCTGCAGAAAAAAAACACGGACGCACACACGTCAAGCCGCTCGAAGCTGAAGCCGATCCCCGGAGGAGGGTCGCCTGAAAACGTACCTCCACTGAACACTTGTCGGAATCAAGCTTGCAAAGCTGCTCTTCGATCTCCTGCACGCGCTCCTCCACGCGCTCCTGCTGCTTCAACAGGTTTTGCTAAAAAAACAACAACAAACAAACGAGAGAAAGAGAAAAGCGTTAGGCCTCTGGTAAGTCGTAGCCTCGGACAGCCACTAACAGTCACTCCCCATACCAGAGATATTAGAATTCCTGGAGCTGGCTAATTTAGTCTCCATCCAACACACAATCCCTGTGGGGGAGGAGGAGGAGGAGGGGTGGGTGCTGTCATAGCAACCAACAGCTATTTAGTGTTTGCATTAGTGAGCGAGGACCGAAGTTGGGGGAGCTGGAGGCAGCGAGCAGAGATAGATAAATGGGCAAGGAAAAAACATCAGCGGTGCTTGCTTTGCCTTTTAACACCCCACCACCACCACACATAAAMACACACACACACACAAACACACACACTCCTGCAATTTCTTCCTAAAAACATCAGATCACACAGTGGGGGGGCTGCTCGGGGAGTCGAGGCAATGTTGTAGCAACATTGTTGAAATAACAACCTGTTATATCTGAACTGAGGAGTCAAACTGAGAGGTTAACCCTGCAGTATTTTATAAATACTATTAATATACAACACTAATATTTRTTTATTTATTTTACCATTATTTATCCAGTTATTTAACACTAATATTACTATTTATTTTTAACATTTGATGGCAGAAAAGCAGACCGATAAGATGGTTTAATTTAAATTCCTGATATGACTTACAGCAGATCTTTAACACCCCTAAGACCAACTGGAACAAAGTGTCCTTTAGTTGGACACGTTTGTCTTCATTGGGACACCAACAGACACTTAATTGGGTGCAATTAACATTTCAACATTTCGCCTAAAGGTGGTACATCTCACCTAGCTGCAACTAGGTGGCATTTGACACTAAACCCACCTGAATGTTTTAACGGCCATCTTAATTTTGAGAKCGGTTGATAAATAAGATGAGTGGAAAAGATCAGCTTCTCATCTACCTCCACAAAGGTCTGAAAATAAGCGTCTGTCCACCTTTTTGCTCTGCTATGAGCACTGCTTAGTGTCCAGTTAAAACAATTTGTATTGTTTCAAGGAACACTGAAGATGTATTGTGATCTTAAAGTGCCTGTGACGTCAAATTTGTGTAATACATGTGAACGCATTTTTAGAAAGAGGACATTGATAAAGTATTGCAAAAGAAATCTCATGTCGATGAGATGAACAGTTGTTGAGATATTTGCCTGTGAAGTAACAGGAAGTGATGTCAAAGGGGAGTGTCTGCATGTGAACAGAGCTTTGCTACAACAGCTGACAAMAGAGTGYAAAGATAAATCTGATGTTTAAGATYATTTTGAGTCATTATCAGASAAAGATAAGGAAAAGTCATAGTTCAAATATTGTTTCAAAAAAACAAAAACCAGAGTTTTCTTTGTTAAAGAGTTCCCCTTTGATGTCACTTCCTGTTTYASTTTGGCTGAGCCAAGTTCAAAAGAAAATATGCCAGTTATGGGACAAAATGGGTTAAATTGTGTGTATTTTGACTCCTGCACAGAAAGCAACAGAGGTAAACGTCCGAGTTTAAAAACCTTTTATCCTTTTATTTTCGAAGTCACGCTCCAGCAGACTGAATAATGAACGTGGGAGTGGCTGCCGAGGTGTAGGACGTGGGTGGAGGCGGACGACCGAATAATGTGTGCACGAAAATGCGGTTCTGCAAGCCGTGCACACAAAACTAGGTCATGATCTTAACCCTCACCCAGTGAGTTATGACTTTGTTCCTTTTAATTCGAAAAGATGCAACATTTAGATAAAACAAAGCTGGCAAACCACATGTCTGCTAGCTGACAACCTTAGACAAAACTGCAAGTCTTGAGTCACAACACATCAGGATCATCCAGTGAAATTAAAAAAACAAAAACAAAAAATACTTAATGGAAAATATCTTTCAGAATACGACAAAGTTAAACCAAACTTCTCAGCAGAGTAAGAAAAAGTCTGAATAGCAGTTGAGGGATTGATCAGTTGTTTCTTCAGGCTGACGGTTCTTGTGCCACCGTCACCATCAAGTCATTCCAGCTCACAGCAGCTGATTTTATCAGAAGCGATCAGCTGCTTTGGGGCTTGACAGGAATGAAAACCTGCTCCCTCCTGGGCCTCAGCAGCACATGGCTGGGAATCGCTGCCCCAGATATCTCCGTCACATGCACAGTTGGTTAGGTCCGGGACGGTGACCTGGTTGTGCTGGCTGATCGAGTTAGGCTCTCAGCAGAAGCCAGAGGAAAGAGGAGGAGGAGGAGGAGGGGTGTGGTATACAACTAAATGTGATGGATACCTTAGGGGGAGGGCAGAGGTGTGTGTGTGTCTGTGTGTGTGTGTGTCTGTGTGTAGGGTAAGAGTATGAACATGGCAGGGTGCTTTTCAGCTGTCGTGTTTCCACAGTGTGTTTTCCATCAGGGCCACGGGGAATGTCGGACCTCACCAGGGGCGGCTGGTGATGGTGTGAGGGAGGTGAAATTGGTTAGTGGGAGGGTCTAATGGAGGTGAAGAGCAGAGTGAGGGCTGTAGGGTGTGCTTGCGCACTTTAATCACATTCACCATGAAGGTTGTGAGGGTGGTGACTGTGAAGGGGGGAAACAGATGATGCTTCTGCCCGTGTGTGTTCATGCTGTTACCAAAATATTTCAGGAATTACTGGATACGTTTTAAATCAAACTTTGATTAAGCTCATTTCAAAATGTTCCACCACAGATAATTSACTTGGTCAGTTTTACAGATACTGATCTAAATTCATGTGGTTTTAGTCAACAGTAAAAAGCGGCTTAAAGACTGTGGCAATAACTTGGTTACTTTTACGTCCGAAGCCAAACCTTTTTTTTAAATGCCGTTACGATCAAAATAAACGGTTTGKGTTTACAAAGGGAAGTTGGGATTGCTCAAGGCTTGAATTATGGAAATCTYTCTCATGTCAGCAAGAACTCAGCATATTTCTTTTATGAAACGGCTGACCAGTGAAGTGAAGTAAATGCTTAGTCAGAACCAATTCGGAAAACGGCACGGACAAAACCCATCTTTAAAAGTGTCCATTTCGTTCAGCCTTTTCTCAATGCAAGTGTTTAACTGTGGAAAAAAGAAAAGCTTGTAAGAATCTGTTACAGAWTCAGCAGAGTTGATTATTGAGGCGATAGAAGCATCCTGTCTGATCAGAGATGGAGGTGATAAATAAACTTGACGACTGCAGAATCATTTAGCCTGGAAATGCACAAGGACCTTTTCTTTTTCTAGTAAAGTCAAACTCCAGATGCTGTGAAAGGATTTTTGGGAACTAAAAACATAGATTACAGCTAAAAATACTTTGTTTGTGGAATCTGTATTGAAAAAAAAAAAGAACTTTGTTTTATGAACTTCAGTCCAGGGTATAAGATTATGAAATAATCTGGAGGATGACATTGAAAATGCCAGACCAAAGTGTATATTTAAGAGAATGATAAAGGTTAATTTGTTGGAGAAGTATGTAAATGTATGAGGTATAATTTCATCTCCCAGTAACACTGCAGCTAATAATGGTTACAGTTATAATAAGATACAGTTAAAGCAAAACAAAAGTTCACCCTCTTNGTTTTATGAACTTCAGTCCAGGGTATGATAATGAAATAATTTGAAGGATGACATTGAAAATGCCAGACCAATGTGTATATTTAAGAGAATAATAAAGGTTAATTTGTTGGAGAAGTATGTAAATGTATGATGTATCAACTGATGCTCATAGAGTTAAACTTTTATTATTTTTCTTTTGTTTTTGTAAACTAAAATATTATTTTTGATTGAATTTATTTATTTCAGAAAAACGGGCAGATGTAAGATTGTTTCTTCTTCTGCTAACTTTCATTTATGATTTGTATTTCTGTTGTTYGTTGAATTTATGTTGTTTTTTAAAGAAATTAATAAACTTAACTAACTTTCCCTACCTCAGATACAGGCTCATGTATAGAAAATACCAGAAAACGTGATTTCAGGTCCAGTTTTAACGTCYGTGTATTATATTTTTTGGGTAGGTAGCAAGTATCTTTGCTGAGACCAGCAGCTATTAATTTATGAGGATATTCTCTGTGACTGGAGGAGGCAGCCATGTTGAATGTTTTCCCACTCAGTGTTGTGGGGGTGAGGAGGGGGAGTGTGGAAACAGTCGTGTAAGCGACAGTCAAGTGATTAAATGACCAATTTCAATCATTTCTGAGAAAAGTAACCGTAGTTTTGATAAAATAGCAACAACAGATACTAGTAAAACAAAGGGCCCAGCGTTTCTTGAAGGACCGCTTACCGCCCCGTCTTTTTAAGCCATATTGAATTTTAGCTCAATATCCGTAAAACCGAAGGAGCTATTTTTAAAGATCATTAAGCTTAGCTAGCTGTGGCAGACATCTTGAATTGGACTGACTCCACTAATCTATTCGTTATTGACGTTTATCCTATCACAAGTTTCATTAAAATTCAAGAGATATGTTCATAACAAATACACAACACAGACACACGGGCAAAAACATTACCGCCCGCCTCCGCCTTTTGTGGGCAGGCGACGAAGATGGCTCCCCGCAGTCACGCTCTGTCCCCAGGTGAGTACTTAACTATACATAAACTTGAGTCATAGCCTTACCAATAAGAAATACACCCTACCAAGTCATGGTTTACACCCAGTCGGGGTGTTGGGTGAACTAAATGAGTCATTCAGCAGCGACGCCTTCATGGTTCTCCTCTTCTGTCACACATAGTTTCAGAGAACAGCGGAGGAAAACCAGTCCGACCTCTGTTCAAACCAGCCACCCCCTCACAAGGAAGGAAAGAGGTTAATAAAATAAAAAATAAGTAAAAAAAATAAACCCCAAGCAGACCACAGAAGCAAGTGATGAATCACTTTAATCCCACTCTGTCCCCCCCGCCCACAMACACACCCTCCAACAACTGGTGATCCCAGAGCTCGGATGCACCTGTGCTGGGGAGATAAGGCCCTCTGAGGGCCCCTCATTGTTCCACCCTCCAATGCATTGTTTGTCATTCCAACAGACAAGGACAGAGGCTGGAACGTAAAGAAAAAAAAAAAAGCGAGATAAAGGTCGAAACACACAAAATACAAACATTTCATAAAAAAATTTTGGGGGAAAGATTTTGACTGGAAATTGATCTAAAAAAACAACATTTTCACAAATTTACCTGGCTGGGGTGCAAAATGTTAAAAACGTGAACAACACTTACTGATCACCAATGAACACATTCCTTCAACTGGGGTTTGATTATTTCCTTGTCATTGTTTATTTTCRTCAAGTTAATTGTTAAGAAACTGAAAGTATGTCACATTTAGAGGCAGGTAGAAAAGCTCTATTTTAGATATATTGCAGTGAACTGATTTTCAAATGTAAAAAAAAAAAAAACAACAACAACAAACATTCTGATAACATTAATCTGTGCTGCCACTTTAAGAGAGTTAGCATAGTTTCTGCATGGTGCCGTTTGTCCTAGCAGAGCTACCAAAGCTTCCTGTGGTAGAAACAGGTTGCAGTAAAACCATGGTTATATGTCTGTAAAGAATAGTTGAAGTTTATCTTGACGGTCTTTAAAAACAACTTTTACACTTGTGTTTTGTGTAAAAATTTCCAGCAATAAACATGATGCTAATCGTGTAGYTTTTCTAGAGTGTTAGGTTAGCATCAAGGCTGTGAGTAACAGGCTTATTTTTGACAGGTTATTGTGAACTCTTTATAAGAATATATAAATCAGTGCTTATTTATGTAAAAAATATTTAGGTTTCAATATAATTGAAATTAATCAAAAATCATTTTATAATTGCTTCACAGCCCTCTGAATTGAAAATAAATCGTGAGGTGCTGGAAGGTTTGCACCTTTATTTACAGTTGACATTAATTGAATCAACGTTCAAAACAAAATAGTCAATATTTATCATGACTTAAGACAATAAATATAGAAAATCTTTAAATCTGAAAGCCCCGATTTTTCGTTTTTGCCTAAAATCTGTGTTTTAAATGTTGTCATTCCGGCTCTATCTGCATGACGGTTGTGTTTTTGTTGGTGAAGCTATATGTGCGTCGCACTGAACGTCTTACCCGGATGTCGTTGCGTCGCAGCTCCACGTCCGTGACGGCGTGTCCGTGGTTGGGGTGGCAGCGGGCGAAGCAGCAGTACTGGCACACCGCCGTCTGCTCGGCCTCGCAGTGGTACAGCCTGTACTCGTCGTGCTGCGGGCAGGTCCAGGCCTTCACCGCCTCTGCCTCCACCAGGAGGTGCCCGAGGGCCGAGCACGGCTGCTGCAGGTGCGTCTGGATGTGGGACTGGCAGCACGGGGCGTTGCAGCGCAGGCAGACCTTGACGGCGGGCAGCGGCGGGCCGCGGCGGCACAGGATGCACTGCGGCGCCGGCGTGCCGGCCTTCTCCACGCTCAGGGCGTTGTACTTCTCAACTATGTTGGACAGTTTGTGGTTCTTCTCCAGGCTGGGTTTCTGCGCGTACGCGTGATTGCACTCGGGGCAGCGGGCCAGCGAGGAGTCTTTGGCCCAGGCCTCGCTGATGCAGCCCCGGCAGAAGTTGTGCTTGCAGGGCAGCTGGATGGGATCAGAAAACACGTGCAAGCAGATGGGGCAGATGAGCTCCTCCTCAAAACAGTTCCTCCACGTCTCAGCCATATCAGCGGCCATGGTGGCGCGGGCAGGGCATGCAACTCAAGTTTTCCACTTCTTCCAGACCTCTAAGGCCTCTCAGAGGAAACCTGACACTCCCAAAACAAGTCTTGAGGATAAAAGGTCCAAAGCTGTCCTGAAAGATCAATATTTATATGCAAACCCTTGTGGCTGAATTAGACAAGACTCCCTGACAGATGTATTGCTTTTTAATGCAGCATGAAGGCAAATTCCAGAAAACCGGGCGAGAGGACTCTTCCAGCAAGGATGACAACACCTTTTGAGCACATAAAACAAGGGCTGACTTTATGCAGATTACAGGAAACARTGCTTTCCTTTCCACTAAGACAGAAACCACCCCGGCCTGCCTTCACAGCCTCTGTATGTGTGCGTTGACAGGCCTGCAGGAAGCAAAAAGCCCGTCTGCTACAGGTAAAAACTACGAAACGCAAACAAGGCACAGAGCATGACCCATCAACTTAATTCAACATGCATCCACATGACACATGATAAGACTCCTGGGTCTTTTCTGCTGAGCCTTCCTCCCCTGACTCACTTGGAAACGTTGGATTATAATTGACTAATAAAGACCAACACATACACAAAAAATAAAAGGACTACTCAAGTCCACACCCTGGTTACTATCCACAAAACCTGAATCTGTAATAATCAGGATCTCAAGGACGCCTGATTCCCTCAATAATAACGCAGCGCAATCATTTCTGTCCACTGAATAATAAATAAGTATCCGGTGAAGCTCCACCAGCAGTTTAATTAAATATACAACCTGCGACGGCTTGGCAGCAAGGTAATAAAAGGTGCCGCTGTAATGGTCAGATGGATAAAACGGTTACATCCGGGCTTTTAATCTGCCATAAAAAGCGACATCTCTGTGATGGATAACCTCGGCTATATGTTTGGCATATCTGTACACAAGGCCTCGGCTTTTTTTTTTTTTTACACCAGCTCTCGCTCGACAACAAAAGGCCTTATAATCTCATTAGACCGAAAATCATGCCCGGGCCATCATTTCGAGCCTGTTTACTGCATAGTTAATCGTTTTAATGGTCCAGCCCGGCTCCTGCGCACAAAACAAAGGGTTTTAGGATCCGCAGGAATGTTGGCCGCTGTTCCGCTAACCCCCCCTCCGCTTCTCCCTCCGACACATCTATCAAATATCTCCTCACACTGAGATTAATAACATTATTTTCCCCCCTCGTACCGTCTCTTCAAGCTTCAGTCTCCACTTTTACTCGCCCGTTCGAAGCCTCAGCCTTCAGCTAGCAACATATTAGCTTACTTCCTTATCTCGACTTAAATCGCGTAAATTACCTCAGACGTCACCTCACCATTTTCTACCACAGCGCAGGTGCATTTAAACTCCGCACAAAGTCCGATTTCGCACAAGGACGGCCGTCGCTAACATAGGCCGTGGTCATATTTTATTTACAGCCGGCTAAATTTATATTTCAAGCTAATAAAAATACAAAAATATACCCTCCTGGTCTTAAAGGGGACGTCGCGGTTCTTGTCCTTGTTGGGGCTAGCTGTCATCAGCCATCTTGCAAATCCTCATTTAAAAAAAGGAGATATCCGCCTTGAAAAGGCTGTTGGTTGTTTCATCAGAGCTGCTTTTTCGATGGCTGACCTACACGCACATACATCGAGGCAAAAGTTCTTCGTAAAAATATAAAAACACGTATTTTTTCCCCCTCCTCCCTGATACTGTAGTTCCGTGGCAGCCGTGTGGAAGGGGGGTTATATTTCGTGGCCTGATGTGTCAGACTCGAAACCGTGCTTCATAAAAAAAAAAATCCTATACGGTTGTGAATAATAATGCCYATTTTCTCCCCCCCTCCTTTTCTTTCTCTCTCTATCCGCCAGGCTGTGGAGACAGAGGAGGAATGCAGACGAGCCGAGTTACCCTGAGTCAAGATTAATGGTATAACAGGCGACTTCCGGTTAGCTTTTCCAAAAATAAAAGCCACCCGCCTGGTAAAAGCTCATCTGCAGATTAACATTAGCTATAGCGACCAAACAGACATGCATTTATATTGTTAATAAAGACAAAGTAACATTTTAATTTAAATGTTTGCATCAGAACAAGCATGAATACACATTTTATTGATTTTAATTATCTACGTTTCAGCCATTTTGAAGCTTGGTGAGTGCAAAAGTGTGGCAGGTCGTTGTAACATATAATGAAACCACATTTTCGTTAGCTTTTTAGCCGATAGTCAAAAATCTAATGCATATCATAATTAAAATCCTCTAAAGTTAAACTGTAACTATTAAAGAATATTTAAGCTTTTCTACAACTATTGTGCCAGAAAAAAAAAACCTAAGCTATTAGGAGGTTTAACAGCTTTAGACAGCTGTTCTATAATGTATGGAAGCTCACCTGCCTCTTTGTATCTCCGTGCCAATATAAGAAAATCAGCGGCTACCTTGTGCTTCTTACTCATTACTTTTCTAATTGCTAATCGTGTGGTCTATGTCAGTGGTTCCCAAACTTTTTATCTTCTGACCCACAAAATATCCATGGCAAAAACTTGTGACCCCAAATATTAC